GTCTGGTCCGCCGCCTGCAGCTCGCAGCCAGCGCAACAAGAACAGCGCGCCCAACGGGCCACCGATGTGGCGAACGAAGTGTTCACGCGTCCAGATGCCCGCCGCTCGGGCGAGCCGCAGTACTTGCCCATTTGTTTGTATATCGCAGCAGTGACTAACATGCGGCCAGGTGTTCGCCATCAGGGGGGAGTTCGCCATGGCTTACGCGAGCTATGCGCATCTACAAAGATGTACACGCGCGACGAACAATACCTTGGTAGCCAATTCCGCAGTCGTAATCGCTGCCTACATGGTGTGTGCGCGTTGATAATCGCGCTGTCGTTCGCTGCCCAGCGGGAACATGCCCCGCCCGTCGCCCCCAGCGGAATGCAGCGCAGGTGCATTTGGTGGGCGCGATTTTATGTGGCGAAGGACTCACCGAACGCAGCTGCGATCTCTGCCAGGCTGCTGCCGCCGAAGCTGGAGACCCAAGGCTCCTGCTGCAATGTCTCTAGGGGTTGAGGTCTGGTGCTCGAAGGCCCCATCGCCCGCGACTCGAAGCTTCGGGCGGTGGAGATGTGTGTGGGTGAGGTTGGCGGGGTTGGGTGGGTGGGTGGGTGGGGTGAGGTGGGGTGCGGGGGTGGTGGTGGTGGTTGGGGGGGGTGGGTGGTGGTGGTGGTGGTTGATGGTGGTGCGTGTGCGCGCGTGCGTGTGTGTGCGCGTGTGCGGGGTGGTGGTGTGGGGGGGGGGGGGGCTTTGGCTTTGATTGTTGCGGGTGTGCCCTTGGCATCGGGCCTAGGGCCTAGGGGCGGCGGGCGTGTTTCAAGACTTGTTGTGAAATGGGGTGGGCGGGGTGGGTGGGTGGGTGGTGGTGGTGGTGGGGGGGGGGGTCGCGGGCCTCTGGCATCGGACTCTGGGCTCTGCGAACCAAGCCGCGACCCAGGAGCTTGCGGGCATGAGGCTTGAGGGCTCGCGGTGCCCAGTGCCTGCTTCCGAGGGCTTAAGTCTGCGATTGAGATCGCAGTGCTAAAGGCTTGATGTTCATGCACACATTTCGGGCTGACGGCTTTTCGTGCACGTGGTTCAAAGCCCAGGGCTTCGCGTTGGGACCCAGCTGGGAACGCTTCGGGCTGATTGCAGCGGCCTCGAGCTTCGGGCTACTAGCTCGTGGCGTTCCTGGCGCAGTGTGTTAGCGCGGGGGCGCGCCGCTTCGGAGTTTGGCTTCGGCGTCTGGCTCGCTGCTTACATGGGCTGGTGGCTCAGGTGCGAGGCCCTCCGGCCTTCCGAATGCAATGCGCCCCCCTTTTCTGGGCTGTGTGATCCTGGGACTTGAGCTGGGCGGCCCCAGGCAGAAGCCCCAACACCGCGCGCCCCGCGCCGTGGGCCCAGGGCCGTGCGCGCGGAGCCTTGGGCCCTACACGTTGGGCTTGAAGTCCAGATCATCGCGCTCGGCGCCCCTGCGCCGTCGAGCCCATGGCCTGAGCCTTTGTCCCTGCGCCCGATGCCGCGCGCCAGACGCAGCGCGCCCTCGGCCCGCAGTCCGAGCTCTCGGCTCTCGGCTGCGCTCCCCAAGCCGCGACCCAGCCCGCGCGCAACTCGGGATCGCGGCATCGATCTGCGCTCGCTCCAGGGCCCCCGATGGGGGTCACCCCGACCAGCGAGCGCGCGCCCCCCCCCCCTCCCCCCCCCCCCACACACACACCACGCACACACACACACACAAAACCACACACCACACACACACACACACACACACACACCCACACACACACACACAACCACACACACACACACACACACACACACACACACACACACACACACACACACAACACACACACACCACACACACACCACACACACACACACACACACACACACACCACACACCACACACACACACACACGCACAACATACACACACACACACACACACACACACGCCACCCTGCCAAGCCGTGAAGCTCACTCGCAGCTGCGCAGGGCACTTCCACGCAATTTGGCGCCGCATTTGGTTTCTTGCTCGACAACACCTGTTATCGGGTTCCTGGATGTCAGGATTTGCTGGGTCGGTTCTTTTCGTTGGCAGTGGCCGACGTGTGCACCCCGCAGGCGGTTGGCAGAGGTCGCGCACGCGGGAGGTGGACACCGCTCGCGCCCATGGGCGGTGGCCACGGGAGGGCGCGTGCGGGCGGATGCCAACCATTGAGCCAATGGGCGCGGGCGCCCTGAGCCCATCTGCGTCGCGACGTCGGAGCCGACGCCTGTCGAATCCGCAGCGTCCGCGGCATAGGGCGCGGAGACCCCGCCATCGCCATGGGGAAGCCCCATCATGCGGGGTTCGCGGGGTTCGGGCGCCCGCGGGTGGGGGGGCGCAATTGGGATGCGCGCCCATCGGCGCCCGCATAATCACGTTTCCGTTTCAGTGGCTGTGGCCTTTTGGGGCCGGGCTCTCACGCAGTCTTCGTCTCCGAGTGCCCTCTGTTGCGGGCCCAGCAGAAGGCTTCCATTACCTTCAGGCCGCCTTGAGGCCGCGGGGCCTGGTGTCTGGTTGCGTGCGCGCCTTGCGCCCTCGGCATTGCAATCCGAGTGTGTCTGGTCAAGGCAGGTAAGGCTGACAACCTAGGCCATGGCGGCCGCCTTTGCCCAACACTGCCGCAATGGCCGCCAGGGCCAGCTGCGTGGTTTGCGCGGGCCGAGAGTCAGACCCCCCCCCCCGCCCACTGACGCCCACCCAGACGCGCAGCCCGACAGGGCGGGCCGACGGGGCGTCCCGACAGGCTGGCCCAACGTGGCGGCCAGGGGCCGCAGCCGCAGCCAGCGGTCGCTTCGGCCCGCGGCCCTGGGGCCGCTCGGCGAGGCGGCCTCGGCCGATTCGCCGCCTCGCATGGAAGGCGACGGGCCCGACGTGTATGGGCTGCACGTCCGACAGCGCATGTGGCGTTTCGAGCGATCGTTTCTTGCCGCTTGAACAGCGCGCCATGGGGCGCGCAGGGGCTGGGTCGCGCTGCAGGCGCTGCTCCAGCGCTACATATCGAGCAATGCTGCTCGGCACCTTAGCAACACTTACGTGCTCTTGTGGGGCCGCTGGCACGCCGAGGCCGCGGGGCGGAATTGCGTTGCAAGGTGGCCCGCGCGTTCGACCATGAACGCGCGGACGAGCGCAGGCGGTTTTCTCAGTTCAAAGCAGCTCCGCCTTCGTAGGCGGAGCGGCGCTTGCTCGAGGGGAGCGAGGACGGATGCTTGGGACTTGCTTCCTTGAGAGGCAGCGATGAGCTTTAAGGAACTTCAGGGGAGGGGTGGAAGAGGGGGCAGGAGGATGGCGAGGAGGTGGATAGGGGGAGGAGGATTGTGAGGAATTGGCAAGAGGACGAGGATTGTGATGAGGAGGCAGGGGGATAGCACGACGGCAGGGGGGGAGGCGGCGGGTGGGTGGGTGGGTGGGTGGGCGGGTGGGTGGGCGGGGGCGGGGAGGGGGAGGGGAGGGGGTCGAGGGGGTGGCGAGGAGGGGCTGGTGGAAGATGCAGGGGCCCGCGTGCGCGTGCGTGTGTGTGGCGGGGGGGGAGGGGGGGAGGGGGAGGGGCCCTTCGCCGTGACCCCCTTAGCCCTTAGCCGCTAAGCCCTTCTCGCGCTTATCAGTTTCCTGTTCTTTCCCGGCATCAGTATCATCCGTTACGTTCTTGCCCCCACTTTCATCAGCAATACTTTCATCATGCTCGTAATGTCCTTACCCTGCTCTCCCGTATCATGCTCACCCTTGTCATCCTGGTCCGACCGACTTTTCTTATGGAGATAGTGTGTACAACCCTCATCGTACGCACCGCCTTATCGCTTTCATATTCCTCAACAGCGCTTTCTTTTTAATCGTCACTGTTGTTTGGTTGCTCAGGCGCGTGCTGATCAACGTTGGCGCAACTTTTAGCCATCAACGCAGGCGCAAGTTAGGGCCGCTTGTCGAGGGCCAGCCTAGGGCCGTCTTGGAGACATGTTGGAGCCATCTTTGGTTAGCTCGTGCGTTGCCAAAGTGGCAGCCCGTGGGGGGTGGTGGCCCTGGGTGCCAGATTGGGCAATCCTGGCCGTCTTGGGGGATGCTTGCGCACTTTGAGGTGTTGCCGCCTCTTCGTCACTGTTGTCATCTGCACCTGTTGCCCAAAGGTTTGTATCGCAATTCCGTATCCAAAAAAAAAGAAGATAGTGAATCCAGAGTTAAAAAAGAGAAAAACAAAGAAAAAAAAAAAAATAAAAAAAAAAAAAAAAATATAGGAAGGTAACAAAAAAAGGAAAAGAAAGGACAAAAAAAGGAAACAAGAAAAAGAAAAAAAGCTAAAGACAAAAAGAAAACAAAAAATCAAATTAAACATTAACAAAAAGTAAAGAATAAAAAAAAAAAAAAATAAAAAAAAAAAAACAGGAGAGAAAAAAAATAAAAAAAAAAAAAAGATAAAAGATGGAAGAACAAAAGGGGGACGAAGTATATAAAAAAAGAAAAAAAAGAAGAAAGAAAAAAAACGGCAACGTGGTGCGCCCTGGCCTTCGGGGCGTCGGGCTGCCGCGAGCAATGTCGGGTCTCCTGGCCAAGATGGCCAATCCATCAGGCGCGGGTTCCGCCGTCGGAGGGGGGGGCGCCTCCTCCGTCGGAAGCAAGGGCGGCAGCCGCAGAGCAGCAGGCAGCGGCGGCTCCGCTCTGGTCAGGGCTGCGGGTAGGCAGCAGGCGGGGTCCAAACGTCAGGCTGCGTCCTCTCTGGGAGGCGGCGGAGGCGGCCCCGGGGCCCCTGGAGGCGGCGGAGGCGGCGGACCGCCGACAAAAAGCTCTCGTCGGCCATGCTTCTGCGGGATATGCTGCGTAGAGGTGCCCGTGCAGGACCATCAGCCCAAATAACTCGTTTCAGGTTCTTAGGTTTCGATGCTGACGTGTTTCTTTCTTACCGAAGAGCTGCTGCTCCCCCACCCCTATCATCGTCCCCCGCTCCGCCATACCTCTCCACGCCCTCCTCCTCCTTCTGCGCGCCCCCTTCCTGGAGGATCCGCCCGTGCTGCTCTGCGGCCTCTGCGAGACTCTGCGCGGCGACGGCTCCCCGCACCTGGCCCCAGGCGAGTTCATCGAACACAACATGACAGAGGAGGGGTCCGCTCAGGTGGTCGAGGCTCGCAATGTCAAGAATGCGCCTGGTTCCCGTGAGTTTCTGTCGCAAGGCGCGGGGCACCGCCATCGCGTCGGCTTCCAGATCGAGCGGAAGGTGACCATATTGAACAAGAGAGAGTTCAAAGAGGTGTTCAATATGAAGCCGACGGTCAGAAACACTACGGGCATCCATAAATTCGACATCTTTATCGAGAACGGCGCGACCAAGGAGACCGCCTGGGCATTCTTGTACGACGCCAGCTTGCCGCATCGAGCCATGAAGTTGTACAATGACCAGCAGTTCATTCTCAGCGAGGAGCGCATGAGCCCCAGCGCCCAGATCCATTCGGCCCAAGGCAAGCAGACGATGGACGCTGGCCTCAACGAGTTGATGGAAGGATCGGGCTACCAGGTCCTCACGGGGAAGGCCCACCTGGCTTCGATCAAGCACATCTTGGACGGTTTCGGGCCCCAGGAGGGGGAGGATGAGCATCTTGCCGAGGATGATGACGACGCCGACGACGGGCCTGAGGCTGGCGTGGGTTGCGCTTCTGCATCTGGACTCCAGGTACAGGCAGTCGCCAGGGCAGCCCCGCAACGGACAGCGGTGGCGGCGCAGCCTCGCACCCTAATCCAGCGGTCGCTCACGTCTTGCTTGACCAAGGCGGCCAGCGTGGCAGGCGCGCCGACTGGATTGCCGCGCGGTCCAGCATCAGGCGCCGCCTCTGGCTGCGGCCCCTTCGCTGCTGGCGCACCGGCTTCGGGCTGCGGGCGCGACCGCTCTCCGCTTCCAAGCCCATCAGGCGACGGCGATATTGGGCCCAGGGACAGCGCCTCGCAGGTCGGAGTTGCCGACGCCGCTGCCTCCGAGTGGGATCAGAGCCCGCGCCGGGACCAAGCGCAGAAGTGGATCAGCAAACTACCAGTCGCAGAGGCGTTGACGGGCAAGCGTTTCGGCAGAACCATTTGGCACGCGGAGGAGGCGTACTCCAAGATGGCGCCTCGCGAGCACAACCGAGTCAGGGCCCACGTCGAGTGGGTCCCGCACTGTTTAGTTAATGATCCTGGACCCCCCTTCCTTCCTCATGGTTCTCAGTCTTGTTTCCGCATTGCGTTCCCAGCAGGTCCGTATAGCGGAGGGTAGCAGCTCGCGGAACATACCTACTGGCGACGTCAGCGCGATTACGGCGAACCTCGACAAGCTCCAGAACGCAGGGTTCGCCATCCCCGAGGCCGTTGCAGCGGCGCTCGTCGAGCGGGCCAAGGAGGACCACTACAAGATTGAGACGCCGTCCGATGAGCAGCACGCGAAGTTCTACTTGACAATGCGCCCATGGAGTACATGTTCTACAAGTATGCCCGATAGGCCCTCCATGAAGGATGCCTCCATCGCGATGCTCCCCCGACCGCCGCAGGAGTTGGCTACTATATACAAGGCATGTGTATTCTCCGATATCCTTTCTAAGTGGCTTGCATGCGGGGAGCCTTTCGTGGGCGTGGTCGCTCCCTTTCCGCGGGAAGTTCATCGCCATGCTCGAGGACGACGCAGCGAACGCAGCGGATGACACCCCTGAGGTTTTCGAAGCGTTGCAGTTGGAGGCGCTCCAAGTACTTCGCTTTGTTCTCGGCGTCTTGTCCACTGACATCGAGGAGATCTGCGCGGCGCCCGAGAGTTATATGTGCATCTGGGACAACTCAAAGCAGCATCGCTCGTCCAGTCCGATGGGGATCGCCAAGGCTTCCTTCGAGGGCGACAATTATTTCTACAACGGCAAGCTTGCAGATTTCAAGCGCATCCTGCCCAAGCTCGAGAGGTACCATAAAGCTATCACGACTGACGCGGACTGGATCAACGACACCAGCCCCGATATCGATTTGGATGACGAGCAGGCGCGACTCAAGAGGATTTGCGACGACTTCGCCACATGGTCGAACGCCCTGAGCGAGCAGACCATGGCATCATTACATACGGCCCTGCTCGCCCGCGCGCTGGCCCATTGCGCGAAGGCGCAGGACGACCTGGAGAGCAGCCCCATTGGCACCAACAGGCTTGCTCGCATCAGAGCCTTCCAGGATCTACTGAGCGCCGCTTCCCTCGCCATGCCCTTCTCGAAGGAAGTGAACGACTACTGCGAGTCCGCGGCCGCCATGCTGAAGGATGCCTCTGCAGATGCGCAGCGGTCTGTGTTTGTCTCAGGCGTGCGAGGCCGTTGTGCAAAAGGCTGCCGACCCGCAGACGAAGTGCGTGGACATGGTGGTGCACTTGGGCACTCTGAAGAAGGCATCTGAGTCATGCGCTGGCACCAAGCTGACCGATCATGACCGTGAGAATGCGAGCTTGGCTTTGACGGCGGCCGCCCGAACAGCAGTGCAGGAGCTGGGCCGCGCCAGTGCCGATG